GGATGATGAGGGCTAGTGTTTGCCCCTAGCCGGCGCGCGCGGGAGGGAGAGGGAGGGAGGGGGGATTAGACTACGGAGTAATAATTTAGTGTACTGTGTAGTAGTAGTAGTAGTAGTAGTAGTAGTAGTAGTAGTAGTAGTAGTAGTAGTAGTTACTCTAAGGAGTAGCCTGTAGCTAGTAGGACAAATTCTTTAGCTGAACACAACAGGAAAAATGGTTCAGGCTGGACAAGGCCGCAAGTTCCAACTGTCACTCTGCAGATGATCGGGACGTATCGCAACACGGCCCCACGTTTCCCCTCTTCTTTTTTTGCCTCTTGTCTTTTTGGCTGTCTGATTGTTTGGCTATCCGTCTCTTCCTTCCCTTCTCTTCTCCTCCCTTAGTTCGCTCCACTCGTCGTCAGTGCACCGACTTTTCTCATCTTTAGCCACCGACAGGCCAGCAACGCCTTCATCGGACAGGGTTGAAGAATGCGATCGCAGTGCTGATCCCAATATGAACTGCAGGTATCCCCATCTACATCAATATACTATTAGCTTGATGCCGACGTTGCATTCATCGGACGGAGAGCAGCAGGGTACTTGCCTCGACACGACTCATAGTAGCCGAGTTTCACTCTCATGACTATCATCTCTACAACAAGTTGAATCTACCACAATAATTCTAATGAATTCCCCAAAAGGGAACAACAATGTGCCGAATAACAAGCTAGATCATGGCTATCTACGATACATCTCACAACTCAGCTCGACTTGAAGATATAGTACTAGAACCCACCCACTAACTAACATCCTCAGCCAGCAACCGCACTCACAGTAGGCTACTTACAGCCCCATCCACAACCAAAGATCAGCTACACTAACTAAAACCTCCTAGATTAACCAGAATATTTCCCACTGACTAGTCTATATCTGGAGTCTCACACACACAGACCAAACCAGGGAAGCATCTAATGGTCCATCCAATAACCACCCGCTAATCAACTAGAGGCGGCCCGCCCCGAAGCAAATCCATCATTGCTCGCTGCCTCTCTTTTCCCCTCTTCCCTTCGCCTCCTCTCACTCATACTACCTAGCTAAGTACTTAGTTACCAACCCCCTCAGTTAGCTAACCAGAATACGGAAATCGGCTAGGTAGATCAACACCATTATCACCATCATCGCCAACATTTTTTTCATGTGAACATACCTACACATACACACATACATAATCTAATATATAGCGAACTGAAACATTAAAACAGGATATAGTACATACTATAGAAACAAGTACTAACACAAGTACTAGATAAACCCCCCATCGCATCCATGTTGACATTTAGGCTCCAGAGTAACGCCAATTGGTCCACACAGCTCACTACTACGAAAGTAAGTAGGTCACGGCAAATTTACTCCCTTCTGGTAAAGCACCCCGTAACCCCAACGAAGGATTATATTGAGTTGAAATCCTGAACTCGGAACATGAGCGAGGGTGAGTAAGTACTATACCAGTATAGTATCTAGTTAAGGAAAAATAGATAGCTAGTCAGACACTCCGATCGATCGAGAGAAAAAGAAAGTACTACATACTACTTTAGCAAATCTCACCGCCCCAAAAATAAAATTATGACCCATTTTTGTTATTGTAGAATCTTGCAGAAAAGAAGGGTCAGTAGATCTGGAAGCGAAAAATAAAAAGCAATAAGGGAAAATAAAAAGCAAAAATAAGAGGGGGAAAATAAAAAGCAAAAATAAGAGGGGGAAAATAAGCCAGCAGAGAAGCACAACAAGACAAGGCGAAGCTAGAAAGTGGAGAGGCAGAGTGAGATGAGAGAGAGCCTCGGGGGGTTCTGGTTCTGGTCCATTCCAGCCGGAGGTTCCACGCCCGCCACTGACGTTGCTAAAAGGGAAATAAAAAATATCTTAAATGAATAAAAAAAAAGGAAATAATCAAAGGGCTGCGGCGGCTGTTCCATCATCATCATCATCATCATCATCGTTACTCAAGAAGTGGGATGGTCCGTGTTTTGGCGCTAGACTAGACTTTCTCTACGTTGAGCTCAATAGATAGTCAGTCCTCCACTACTACTCCATCATCTAGACTATCTACTTAGTTCGGAGGAACTTGCAGGAGAGGAGGGGGTGGGAAAGGGAATAGTAGTGAGGGAGGGACGGGGAGGAACGGAGAAGACAGTCAGCGGAAGTACGGAGTAGTATCTCTCTCTAGTCTCTACTACTATAACCACGGAATTACAAATGAACAGCACTAAATATATTAAACTAGGGCTGGTACACACATCTAAGAAGTAAAAAAAAAGAAGTAAGAAAACCAAGGAAATGCAGGCCCGGGAGCCGCACCCAATTAAGTGCCGCAAGCCCCCGATTTGCGGTTGGCGCTCGTGCTGACTCTTCGCCCGTTAGTTACTGGGGGAAGGAAGGGAGGGATGGATGGATCTATCTAGTAGTAGCGCAGATACGAGGCTCCATCTCAGCGTCATCATCATCAAATATGTAGTAGTCTATGGGTATGCTGCTGTTGTTACTGCAGCACCACGGCTCTAGGTAAGCCGTGCTGCGTATTTAGCTTCCTTTGCTTACTAGTTTAGCTGACTAGCTAGTTAGTTAGCACACCACTTTTCATAACCTGACCTGACCTGACCCCCAACCACCGCCCCTCATCCACACCCACCCCCCCCTGCTAGTTTAGTGCGATGACTACTGACCCGGGCTTACTGGCGCTTGGACTCGTTCGGCTTTTGTACGCCTCCCGTGAATGAGGCTAGTGTGGTTTCGTTCTTTCTTTTTCTTGCATGCATAGGGTCGGTCACCTTGCGGCGGTTTGGGTAGGACGATGTTGGGGGCTGAAGTGGGCAGTACTAGAAGAGTAGGTGAAGGAAGAGAGGTATGAGTTGAGCCCATATTAACTTAGTATAATTCGGGATTTGAGGATTGATTTGGTTTGGGCAATGCTTACTTCTTTCCTTTCGGAATCTCCGGCTGGCAAGGCTGTTTCTCATCCATGGTTGTGTTGTGTGTGTGTCTGTGTGCCGGCTTGCCGTCCATAGTATACTACATGGGTGGTCATGCCACGGGAAAGGCAGAAAACAACTAAGCCGTGAGTGATATCTACTCCACTCAGGGTGCTAGACCTTGTGAGGCAATGTAAAAAGTTCTAGGGATGAATTAATTTTTGTCTGTCCGCCCGGGCAAGGAAAACCAAGTAGTTAATTGTTTACAGCCTGGCCTTTTGGCTCAACTGGGCCTGAACTTTCTTAACCCGTTCCCAGGCCTCCAGCGCAAATGGCTCCGTATTTCTAGCATATTCCGCAGCGCGGGCACTACTAGCCTGTCTCAGGGCATATCTCGCCTTGATACCATGCATAATAACCGAGCTTCTCCAAGAGAAGAAAGCATCGCCCCATGGGATATCCCCAGTGGGGTCATACCCGGACACCTCACGATACCAGCGGATGCAGTCCTCTCGAGCGGGCAAGCCAGGCACCACCTTCGGGACGAACATTGCCTTCTTGTGGTCCACTCCATCGAGGAAAAAGGGACTAGTGAGGTTGCAGAAGTCGGACAGAGGGTGCCCCACCGTGGCCATTTCCCAATCCAACAGGCCAATGACTCGCGGTTCGGATTTGTGAAATATCATATTATCGATCTTATAGTCCCCGTGCACGAGCGTGCCGCGGTCTTGCGGCTGCGTCGTCTTGTCTTCGAAGAAACGCACCATGTCCATGAAATGAGGCAACTCTCCGACAGGTTCCTTGGTCTCCACATCCACGGCTTGTGCCTGCGCCTGTGCAACTGCTGTAAAGGTGGCGATCTGTCGATCATAGTACCCCGTCGGTTTTCCGAACCTCTCCAACCCGACCTTTTGGGGTACTACCCGGTGGAATTTGGCTAATGTCCGGACCGCATCCTGCCATCTGTTGGTAGGGGGGTTGCAGTCGTTAGCTTCTTCTTCCCGCTTCCATGTAACAGTAGCCGCGTCAGGCGGGTTGTATCATCCCGAAAAGGCAGGGGGGAGGGAGGAGGGGATGACGTACAATGCGGTTCTCTCCGCCGGGTCGACCCCGGGCATGGCAGGATCAGTAAAGTGTCGTCCGTCTAGGAATTCCATGATGTAGAAGGGGGTGCCGATTACGCTGCTGTCCTCGCAGAGACAGTATGCTTTGGGGACGGGCACGTCGGTGTTTCCTAGGGCATGGATGATCTTGTACTCGCGCTCGACTTTGTGCGCTGTCTTGGAGAGTAGCTTGCCCGGGGGCTTCTTGCGCAGGACATATTTGCTGCCGTCGGCGGTGGTGAGTTGATAGGTAGGGTTGGATTGACCAAAGCCAAACTGTAGCGTGTAAGTTGTGTGTGACCAGATGAATTAAATCAAAAAGGAGCCATCATATACCTGCTTCACATCCAAGGGGGTCTTGATATCGGGTACATTGAGATTGAGATAGCGTTCCAGGGAAGGAACATCAATAGGTTGGCGCACCGCTCCAGCCATATCCAAGACAATGCGAACTTCAACAACAATATGCTGTGAGACTATATGCAGCACCACCAATTTCTATAAAACGTAGCAAAAGCGGAGAATAAGTCACGCTGAGGATGGGAACAAAACCCGGGGATAGCCCCGATCTCAAGCCAGCCAGCCACGGCCCGCGGCTCACCTGAAGGGGGCGCTGCGGGGAGCCTCGGCTATCCTGGATTCCTTACCCTTCAAGGTCTAGTCCAATCTCCAACAGTATCAAAGATCAGATCAAACAACCCAAACCCGCCAAGCCCATTAAAACGCGCCTCGCGTCTCCCTTCACCGCCAGACGCGTTCCCCCAAATAGATTCCAGCAACCCCAAATTAAAAAAAAATAGAAGAACCCACTATGAAGGGCCTCGCCCTCGCCCTCGCATCTCGTCGATTTACACAACACACCGCATTTCCAACACCTCTTCAGCACCTCTTCAGCCGAAGAAAAAGGATACACCATATCTCTTCCTCCCCACTACACACCACCCAGATAATGACCAAGGAGACCACCCCTCCTCCCACCACTACCACTACCAACGAACCTACAACAACAACAACTCACGAACCCCCCTCCCTCCCCGCCTCTCCCCTCGCCAAACGCACCAAACCCAACACCGATACCACAGACACAACTACATCATCAACAATGGGCTCAACCAGCACCCCCCTCCCCCCCCTCCAAGTGAAGAAGCTCACTCCCACGGGCCGCGCCCCGACCCGCGGCTCTGCCTTCGCGGCCGGATACGACATGTACAGCGCCAAGGAGACCGTCATCCCTGCTAAAGGGAAGGCATTGGTTGATACGGGCATTGCTATTGCTGTGCCGGAGGGGACGTGTACGTACCAACCTACCCATAACTATATACACAGAGGACGAAAGCTGATAATCTTGTGATTGTGGTATAGACGGCAGAATCGCCCCCCGCTCTGGCCTCGCCTCGAAGCACTTCATTGATACTGGCGCGGGCGTCATCGATGCAGATTACCGGGGAGAGGTCAAGGTTCTTTTGTTTAACCACTCGGATGTGGATTTCGAGGTGAAGGAGGGAGATCGTGTTGCGCAGTTGGTTTTGGAGAGGGTATGTCCCAATTCTTTTTCTTCTATTGTTTGGATGGTTGTGGTGGGTGCCGATTGCTAATTGTAATGTGGTGTTAGATCTATACCCCTGAGGTTGTGGTTGTGGAGGAATTGGCAGAGAGTGTTCGTGGGGCTGGTGGGTTTGGAAGTACTGGTGTTTAAATTGGGAGTCTTTGGATGGGGTTATGTTAGAGATATGGCGTGTATGGCTGAATGATATCCGTATAATTGGGATACAATTACAATAAAATTACATGGATGTGAGAATAAATGTCATCTATGTTTGGTCCGTCACTGCATTTCATCATGACTGGTGGTATATAATCAACACCCGTCTATAACTAATCTATAATGCTCAAACAATTTGCCGCCCATTTAGCGATAGGATCAACGAAACTGCGCCGGCAGATCCTCCCGTCGCCACTCACTCGCCTGGAACTCCACCTCCGGTTCCCGCAGATACTGCGCATGCCGGACCACCCGTACTTCTGCCGCCTTACTCTCCCGCAGATGCGCCCTCTTCTGCTGGTCCTCCTGGCTGAGCAGCTTCTCGCCCTCATCCGGAACAATGGCGCGCAACTCGGCATCTCGCGCCTCCAGAGTCTTCTCCAGTACGCAGTGCATACTCGCCAGCACCTTCCGGGTAGACTGGGCAAGGGGCAACTCCGTTGCAGGGACATGGTCAGGCGAGACCCACGACTTAGTGTGGCGGAGATTTGCATCGGCATTGAACACGGCCTCGCGGAAGCGGGCTACCGTGAGAGCGGCGAACATGTCGCCGGTACCGCTGAAGTAGCAGTCCAGGGCGGGGACGTCGATGCGGAAGAGACGCGGGGCGCCGTCGGAGCGGGTGGTCGAGCCGATGACGGTAAGAGTGTTGGGGAGAGGAGAATCGGAGAGGCTGGCGATTTGCACGGAGGTGATGATCACGTGGGGGATGTTGTAGATGGCGTGGAGGGCGGTGATGGCTTCAGCGAGGGTGGCGAGGGAGGTGATTTTGATGCCGGAGAGGACTCTGCTTTGGTTAGAGGGAGCAGCAGAAGTAAGGATAGAGGGATGGCTTACTCGGCTTCGAATTGGTTGGGGAGAATAAGGTCTGCGTGGCGGATGACCTTCTTGTAGGCGGGAACGACGTCGTCGTTGACGTAGAGACGGCCTTGGTCGCCCATTACAGGGTCCAGGACTGCGCATGGTTATTACTGCCACCACATAGAACAGAGAGAGGGGGCAGCTCACTCCAGAAGAAAGAACCGGGATTCTTTTCCGCTTTGCGCTGGAGGTCCATGCCAATGGCCCCGACGGCTTCGACGGCAGCTGCACTTGGCGCATAGCCAGAAAGCATGACATCAAAGTCAAGCAGGTTGCTCTGCGTGAGACCCTCATAGAGCGCGGTGATCTCCTCTGCTGTGGCCCTAGTGCCCTTGAACTGTCTATAACCGGTGTGGTTACCTGGAGTCTGTTAGTAGGGTGATTACATATATGATATATGCCAGCTTACTGAAGTGCACTGTGTTCAAGGCGGCGACATCACAGCCCATGAGCTGCATGACCGCAGTGGCCATCTTATTGCCCACATATCTGATCCGTCAGTATGGGCAGGGATTGGATGCGACGAGACATCATGATAGATAGAGGTGTTATCAAATATGACACATACCCGTAGACAACCTAGACCCTTGTCAGCAATGCATTGGGGGTAGGTACCATTGAGGGTACATCCATGGTGGTTGGGGGAAAACATACATGGCTGGCGACAGCCAAGACCCTGGTCTCAGGGACGAGAAGATCGGCGGACATGATGAAATGAAGGGGAGCTGGGTGGAGGAGAAGAAGAGGAGCAGGCGGGCAAGGAAGGGAACAGTTCGATGTCATTCCTTCCTTTGGGTCGGCGATAGGCGAGGTGGAACCTCCTGGGTTTGCCGCGTTGTTGATTGGCCCACGGGGCCGGCGTGCAGCCCGTGCTCCCTCGGGAGTTTTTGATTTATCTTATTAAGGGATTTCCCATCCGGCAGTTTATTTTCCTGTCTTCTATCTGAATAGTAGTTGTTCCTCTGGGTCGAAGTGACAAGAATAGCTGTTACACTCCTCGAGTCAGTCGTGACGCTAATTCTGGTGGCGCCAGTTTCAGACGAGAACACAACAGGTAGAATAACCGAACTGTCCGCTATGCTCATTGACTTGTGAAAAGTCCTTCTTTTGCTTTGTACTAGGAGCAAGGAGTCCAATCAGTTGCCCTGCTAAGAATAAACCCTGAGGGTCCAGACTCTTTGCCCGTCGGTCTAGTCTCGACTGTTCCATCCAGCCTATACCAATTATGCCCGTTTTTTTCTTTGGCGCACGGCTCACTCCGTCAGGCACGCCCCTGACTACCCTGCTCGTGGGTGTGTGTCTTGTCCACAATGTGCCATGGCTTTAATCCCGTTGTGTGATTGATCCCGTTGTAGTACAGTAGCCTCATGGTTTAGATTAAAGCTGCCCTCCCCCATCCTGAAGTGCCCTAATCCGTCCATCCATCCATCTATCCATCCATCCCCCTTGCCCTGCCACCGAGCAGCCATCCCAAGACCATGTAATTGGACAACCACATTCCTTTGGATTTCTTTGCTGTCTATATACACACTCTCTCTTCATCTAAAATCTAGTCCCTCATTAAGGAGATCCAATTGACCATCACCACCATGGTATCCATCTACCACACGCCGCGTGCACGCCCAGCACGGCCACACCAACACCACCAACAACGATCACTCCTTCTCTTAACCCTACTCGCCCTCCCATCCGTACTAGGATCCGTGCTTCCATCCAACGCAGAAATAAGCAGCGGAGAGATCGTCAATGCGGATCACTCCGCAGCACATACCACCACCACAGACCACCAACTATCACCAGATATCTTCACCAACGACGACACCCTCACCCTCACCCTCCACCCCCGCACCACCACCTCCAACGACACATCCATAACCACCGACACCACCGACACCACAACCTCAACCTTCCCAACCGCCTTCGACACCTCCCTAACCAACAACTTCACCACAACCACCTGCTCCACCTTCTTCCACACCCTCCTAACCAACAGCACCCTAACAACCTGCCACGCCATCTCCCTCCTCCTCCGCGACTCAACCTCCTTCTTCCACGCCCTCACCTCCGCCCCAACCACCTCCTCCATCCTCGACACCGCCTGCGCCTCAGACCTTTCCACCTGCAGCACCGCCCTCACCACCCTCGCCACCTCCCTCCTCCAATCCTCGACCTGTCTGCACGACTACAACGCAGGAAACCAAGCCGTGGTGTCCCTGTACACAGACCTGATCGTCTACGCACCCATCTACCGCGCCACGTGCCTGCAGTCCCCCACGACGAATAACTATTGTTTCGTGGATGCGGTCACGAATACCACGAATGCCGTCGACTATGATGTGTATTTCGTGCCGTATGGGAGTGCCATTTCGTCTAAGCCCTGGCCGACTTGTAATGAGTGTCTCCAGGCTACTTTGAATGTGTATAAGGAGTATGCGAGTGTGGATGGGCAGCCGCTGGCGGGGAGTTATTTGCCTACGGCGAGGGGCGTGAATGGGGTTTGTGGGGAGGGGTTTGCGGATGTTAATGTTACGGTTGGGGTCGTGGGGGATAGGGTTAGTAGTGGTGGTGTTGGTGGTGTGAAGGATTGGAGGGGTGGGTTGGGGTTGGGGTTGGTGGTGGTGGGGTGGAGTGTTGGATGGGTGATCATGGGGGTATGATAATATATGTGATGTAATATGGTTATGGTTTTTACATATGGAGGGATATTCTAATGTCTATACTTTAATTTCTCTTATCTACACTCACTCACTCATTCATTCACTCCCCTCGCTTAGTTTGAAGGTATATGGAAATATGAAATAATATCTTATTCAAAACCAGGTATATCCAGCCCGTGGGCAAATAAATATCAAACAGTGCAGAATAATATCAAAATGTGGAGGCCACTATATCATGTCGTCACATATTTCATGATACGAATAATCGGGGTACTGTCGGTTTGCTAACTGCGTCGAAAACTGTCGCCCAGCGCTACCCCTACCAGGCTTTGAGGCCCGAAGCTCTCACTCCCCAAGCCTGACGCTGGGCTTTGCGTTGATGCGTCTCTCTCCCGCTTGATCCGGAAGAAGGCCAGCTTGGTGAACCGGTTGAGCTGCGCCCAAAAGTGTCGTCCTGCCGGATGCGCCGCAATGCGCTCCAGGAGATCGACTGCTGCCTCGCGCACCGGCTGGTGTGGGTGGAACAGTCCCATACCGAGGTAGAAGAGTCCCGCTTGGTTCTCCGGAGTCACGGTCAAAAGCTGGCAGATGCCTGCGTAGTCCTTGACCGCATGCGCAAATGAGATGTAGATCGCCCCCGCATCGGCTGGCGGCAGCCTCAGCGCCCGTAGCCGGTCATGATGATGATGCAGGTCCGGCTTCTGAATCGGCCGTGAGGGATAATACATGGCTGCAATGTCTTGAATAAAAGAGTAATATGATCGCGTCGTCCGCCAGCCTTCAATCCTTGCCACCGACGCCATCAGCTCGCGTTGCTTGGAGCCCTCGTCTGGCCACACGTAACCGTGTCCGCGGAGCGTTGTCGGATCAAGCGGATCCGCCTGAAGGCCGCTTGGGCTTTCGGGCGAAAGCTCTTCGTTGGGCCCGATAACATACAAATTGGACGCCCCGTAGACCGTCTCCTCGAAGGCAGCAGCAACACGGGTGAATTTGGTGATATAGGCGCGCCACTTCGCTCGGATGGCATTCTCGCCGTATCGGTTGGTGATGCTGCGCTGGACCTCCTCCATAAAGACATTGTCTCCACTGGGATCTGAATTGTTACTCGGCGGTGGATGGTGGTTCATGGCGGCTTGCTGCTGGAAGTACAAAAGTCCTTCGGTAACAGGGGCCGGCTCGATGTGGCTGCTGATCTTCATTCGGCCCGTGGGCAGGTCGCAGAGCACATCCCACCACTCGGGGTGGTTGGCAAAGGTAGGATTTGTCACGCCGGCAATGAAACCAGGGACCCTCAGTAGATCATCGATCTTCGTCAAATCGGTGTACGGGAACGCATGTCTGGTGAATCCGCGCAATATACCGCCCGACGCAAGGGCGCACGCCGCCAACACTGCCTCGGCCACCTCGCCTGAAGGG